TTTAATGGAGATATCCCATGTAAAACATATGGTTATGAAATCACATCAAGGAGGAAGTTATACGTACCTAGAGTGCATGGTTCTGTACTAGGCTCCACAGAAGTTAATCCAGAAAAATAATGCGTCCACTCCCGTTGGGATACTAGGCATTTCACAGAATGTTGGCAGATAAGATGAGTTTCCCTCTCACTGCTATCAATTAAAAAGGTTGCATTTTAAATTTTTTCTCTATTTTTTTAATAAAGTATAGTTTAGGGTTATGGACAGTTAACAGATCACAGTCTTTTTTGGGCTCTAATGCTCTGCCTTGCTTACCAAGCCAGTTTTTGTTGTTAATACAAAAGCCTTAATGCTTTCTTAGTGAACGGAGTGTCAGCCTGGCTTTAAGATATTTTTTTACTCTTAAAAAAATGATGTATTACAAGATTTGTAATGGAGTGAACATGCTTGAATTGCACATTAAATTTTTTTTAACATCACATTCATGTTTTGCCAGTTTGCCTACCAGCTATCTGTTAACAAAAAGTTCCAAGGCAGCAGTGCAAGTCTGTGCCCAACGAAGCCTTTTGTTTCTGCAGATGTTTGAGCTTAGAGCAACGTTGTAAAGCTCAGGCAATCCCAGGGCCATGTTTGTACTTGTCTGCTGCGATTCCCTGTGCATTGTCTAAACCTGTACGCATTGTTCTTTCCGACAGGTGATAACTACCCCGTACAGTTCATTCCATCAACAATGGCAGCTGCTGCCGCTTCGGGCCTCAGCCCTTTACAGCTCCAGGTAAGTGCCAGAGGAAAATGTGGGATGCTCGCCAGTGCTCTAGTGGAAAACGGCTAACCAGCTGTATGCTAAATAATGGCCCGAATGTTAAATAATTTTTTAAGCATAGCGTAGGAGGATTAACACCTTATGTACTTGCCATACTGCAAATAGAAAAGTGCCAGTTTCAATATTTTTAAAGGAAAAATGACACGATGACTTAGGACTTTATATTCTCTATCAGGTGAGTTAATGGTTTGACAATTTCTTTATGGCTGGTTGTTATTGGCTGCATTAGCTTTCTCCTTGTCAAGTTTCCACCCATGTCTTAATTTATGTCAAATTAGCTTTTACATATAAGCATCAAAACAGAGAACAGTGTTGGATATCTTCCTTCTAGCAGCTCATAGAACAGGGGGTCATCATTATTACCAAATTACTTTAGCTACTTAGGAAAATGTAAACATATTGCACCCGAGCATGCGTATCGTCACCTCATCCTCTTCCTCATTCCAGGTTGAAAGTCTGGGCATGGTGTCTGACCAAGTTCTTTATTTAAAAACTAAACTTGGGGGAAAGTGTTTAGGAAGCTGAATGAAAAATCATCTGCACCTTGTCTTCTTCACAGTAAAATGAAGGGTGTACAGTAGGGTGAGGCGATCTTTACACCCTTCCAGTACTGCCTTTTAGTGGGAAATTGACTGTAAATGAGTATGCATTTTTAGCAAAAAGATAATATTAAAATAATGGTTAAACCTTCAGAATTTAAACATTTAAAAAGTATGATAACAGCCAACTTTCATTTCAATACAGTGGAGAGTTTAAAGATAGTATTTTATTCTTATAATTTATTGTGATTATTTTTGATTTTCTTAAATAATCTAGGAAATAGCACCTGGCTAGGCATTTTACTTTCTTCTTTGCTATTCCCTACATAACCTCAACATTAAAAAATGTACAAGTATTTTACCATGAGAAAAACATTATTTTGACCGTTTTCAATTGGATCTTCAAGTAAGAATTTTTGCAAGACTTTAAGTGTTTATTCTAAGTCTCATCCAGAAAGCCTTGTTATGGACTGCCCAGCAGAACTAAAAGTTTTGCCTATAAGAGTGGCAACCCTACCTCTCTTCCAAGCCTCCCCTTTCCCCACTACTAACACTGGAACTTGCTGAAATTGGTGAACTCTAAGAAAAGCCTCACTACCAGGAAACCTAATCTACTTCTCCTTTTTAGATAGCTATGCTATAGAGTGTACCCTTGAGTCAGAGGCAGGAATAAGAATCAGTCCCATTGTTTGATCTTAGAGCTGAGTTTCTGTGAAGGAGAGCATCTGGGTCCTAAACCTTCTACTTTCTATGCTTTGGTGTGGTCAGTACCCTGGGTGTAGAAATATGTGTTCTGTTTCATGAGTTCTGACAGTGTGTTTTGTCTTTTTTTTTTTTCTGAATATGCTACTAAACAGAAGGGTCATGTCTCCCACCCACAAATTAACCCAAGGCTAAAGGGCCTAAGTGACCGTTTTGGCAGGAGTTTGGACACCTTTGAACATGGTGGTGGCCACTCTTACAACCACAAACAGATTGAGGTATGAATACTTCCATTGGTGCTTCATTGGGTGGGGGACTGGATTGTTCAGTCATATTCTAGGCTTTTTCAAAAGTGGCAAACACAAAACCTAAACACTATAAGATAATCATTTCCTACTTCTAATTCCTAGGGAGACTCCTTTTTGCTCCTTTTCTTTCATTAAAAAAGAAAAAAAAAGAAAGCAGATGTCAAACTAATGCCCCTGAATTAGATTGTTTATTCCTGTATATGTATTTAGGCAATTTTTTTATATTATGTGTGTTTTCAAACCATCTTTATTTTCTTTACTTATTATTACTTTTTTAAATGTATAGTGATGTATAATGTTAAAAAAAACACTCAAACACTACAAAAATCTCATTTGACCACATAAAACTCTGTAAAGTTGATAGAATATTGTTCCACTTGTACAGATAAATAACAGAGGTTCAGAGAGGTCCAGTTTTTTTAGCCAAGTCTACAAAATATTCCTGAGTCAATGTTTTTACCTAGGGTTTTTTGACTCTACCTAATTCAGGTTTCTTAACTTAGTTTTCTCAGGCTGAAGTAGGGATGGGTGCCTGGGCCTGGCTGCTTGCTTTTTGCCCCATAAATTTTGATAGTGTTCCTTTCGTACTAAACTTCCAGTAAAGCTCTTAGTTAGTTAGTTAGTTAGTTAGTTAGTTTGTTTTTTTGGTGTGTGTGTGTGTGTGTGGTATTCTTACTACTTGAGAGAAGATGGCTTATATGTCTCTTTTGAAAACCAAGTCCTTTTCTTCTACAGGGATCTAGTTTTTCTCTAATTTCATGCTTAATTCCTTTCCTATATCATTGGTGTTCCTCTCTGGGACTCTCAGATACTGGCAAGTTGCCAGTAAACTGTTAAATCACACACACAAAAAAAATGGAGACAGATTACCTCAGACTGAAACACACTTTGACTTTCTGGGTTAGGTGTAATACTACATTTTATATTCTAACCAAGGATAGGAAACCCAATTAGAGAGAGAGAGAAAGAGAGAGAGAGAGAGAGAGAGAGAGAGCAAGTAATTGCAGCTAGCAAAAGTTGTATATTCAGCTTCTATTGGCTCTGCAAGTTATACATATTGCATACTGTGTATTCAATACAGTGTCCATGTGACTTCTTCTCTGCTGCTTTTGAAACTACATTTTTGGAAAATGATAAAGTTTACTCCAGAGAAAAAAGGGAACAAGATCAAAGGCCACCTTGGAAATAGCCTAGGGAGGAGTTCCAGAGCTCACTGCCCCCTTGCTCTCAACCCTTCCCCTTTGATATGAGGTATAAGGGGGTTTCCACCCAGGCATGACCAGGCATACACTCTCACTATCTGCTGTCTGCTATACAGCCAGAAAGGATTTCTCTCCTAAGGCTTTTGGATGTAGAAAAGATACCATATTTCTGGACATTCTGAAATCTATGCTTAGGATTGATTGCTAAATAGAAACTGGACATTAAGAACAAGCTTTCCATTTGAAAACAGTTAGCAAGCTTACCCTCTCAGGAAAGTTAGTTTGTTAAACTTTTAAGTGCTTGAAAGAATGTGAACGCAGGTGACCTCCTCTCCTCTTTGACTTTATGTTCTCTTGAAGTGTTGAGGTTTATCCAGTCAACCTTCTCTTAGCCGTTTTCTACCCAGATTTTTTTACTAAATTTTCACAAGTCACTTAAGTTGACTTCTTTTTTTTTTTTTTTAAATATATATATATATTATTGATTTTTTTACAGAGAGGACAGGAGAGGGATAGAGAGTTAGAAACATCGATGAGAGAGAAACATGGATCAGTTGCCTCCTGCACACCCTCTACTGGGGATGTGCCCGCAACCAAGGTACATGCCCTTGACCAGAATCGAACCTGGGACCCTTCAGTCCGCAGGCCGACGCTCTATCCACTGAGCCAAACCGGTTAGGGCTTAAGTTGACTTTTTTCTGTCACAACATCACTGGCTCCTGATGCTGTCAATTCTGGCTTTTGTTGGGCTTTGATGCCATAATGTCATACATGTGAGGGCCAGATCTGGGTGTTGCTGTAGCAGTGCTGATGGGGAAGCACAACATATGCCGATGTCTGTCACTTTTATTAGGCTAGATAGAGAACCCATTTAAGCAGGAGCCCTCATAGCTTTGCAGTTTGAGTTTGTGCTGGTTTGAGAATTTCTTGGGTTTCTGTTTATCCTTGCTCTGTTTTCTTGCTTCCATTTTTTTTGCAAGTTTTTCCTGCACGTTAGGAAACCTTTGTTCTGTTTGCTTGTATGGTACCCTGGTTAGAAAAGGTCGACCTTGTTTGAAAGGCAGATTGCCCTAAACTTTCCAGGTGTTAGTCTAACGTGTTTTTTGGGATGTTTATGAACAGCAGAGTAGACACTCATGTCGAAGCTGCTACAGACATTAACATTTAAAGTCTTGAGCAAGAATAGAGAGAACATTTAATAATATCTTGCTTAATTGATTTTAAAGTCAGCTTTCTTTTCAAGCTAAGGTTTTCTCCCCTCCTTTGACAAGCTAAAATGTCACAGCTCCAACAATCATTACCATGATAAACTGTTGATACTAAGGAAGCATTGCAAGTATGTTAACTTGTTTTAGTGCTAAACAGAGATTCTTAGTAAAAACAAAAAAAGAAAGAAAAAAAAGTCCACAATACGTTGATACCACTACCATCACCACCCTGTCCCCCCTTCCCCCTGCTGCATTGCTTAGCACTGGTCCTATCTGATGTCACAGTTAACTTGTCCTTCAAAGGTTGTTACTTCTAACAGTTATAAGCCTGGATAAATCTTAACAGTGTTTATGGTCACACCCTGGAAGCCTGAAATTTTGTTAGCAAGTAGAGAAAAGATATTTAAAGTGGAAAGATCCTTCTTACATTAGTATATTCCAGTTCTGTCTTTCTCAGGAATAAAGAAGATGCAGGAAAGATTTCTTTTTACTTTGTTGGTTTTCTGAGCTAATCTAAGGCATTTTTTTTTCTGTCTCAGGGGCACAATTTTAGAAGAGAGCAGGCCAAAGAATGCTATTTTTAGTTGAACAGTTCAGCAGATGGAGACATGAATACTCATATATCTAAAGGTTTAGGGGCTTGAACCATTAATTTTGATAATGTATTTAACCCTGGGAACAATCAGAAACTATAACTCTAAGGTTGCAGTGTTTTTGACCTTTAGAGAACAGAGGGCATTTGCTACAGTAAACAATATATTATATTGCTACTTATTCCAATTCTCTACCCATATAAATTTCAGGACCAGTTGCCATTTGCTTTCCTCAGCTATGTTAGCATTGGTCCTTCAAGTAAGTCAAGAAGAATGTTAAGGAATGGGGACCAGTATAATGAGTTGGTCATGTAAATTTGGCCTTTGAATAGCTAAGATGTTAGATTGTTTCTGAAGAAATATCATCTTAGAAACTAAGCTCTGAATGACTTTTTTTTAATATATATATTTTATTGATTTTTTACAGAGAGGAAGGGAGAGAGATAGAGAGTTAGAAACATCGATGAGAGAGAGACATCGATCAGCTGCCTCCTGCACATCTCCCACTGGGGATGTGCCCGCAACCCAGTTACATGCCCTCGACCGGAATCGAACCTGGGACCTTTCAGTCCGCAGGCCGATGCTCTATTCACCGAGCCAAACCGGTTTCGGCGACTTTTTTGTTTTTAAGGAAAAATGGTTTCAGTGTATTGATTCATTGTAGGTGATGACTTTCGATATAATAGATCCTTAAGGTGATCTTGTTTAATTTTGTTTTTAATTAGGGGTAATGTTGCCTCATAGTTGTAGCTTATAGTAAACACAATCTGGTACCATGTCATGCAAAATAATACACCTGTCTCATGCCTTCTTATTAAATGATACATGCTCTCTTTAGCAAATACAGCAGTTAAATATCACACAGCTTAAGAATTTCTAATTAAAACATCTCCACATGTCAGCATATTGGTAATGTATTATTTTAATCCATTTATTTTGTTTATGAAACAGTGACATATGTTTAGATTGTGAAATATATGAGCCTTAAAAATCACTTTATTGAAGAAAATTAATTCCTACAATACTGTCTCGGTAATGTGTTCACTCACCCAGTCAGTCACTGGCGGCACTGCCAGTCTTAATGTTGGGTAGACATACTCACCAGTTTTATCTGCACAACAGTCTCGGGAAGAAGCAATAACAGTTCTTTTTCTTAGCTCCATATGGTAAGGCTTCCTTTCTTTACTTTCCCCCCCGCCCCTTTACTCATTAATTCAAACCTATCCACCCAAAACACTTTTGTTGCTTCTTTTTTTTTTTTTTTAATACAATGAAGGATGGGACAGTGTGTAAGTATAAAGGATTCTGAAAGACCAATCAAAATTAAAAACAAGCTAGTTACCTTTTCAAAGTTAGACATAGTAATTTGTTTGTCAGCAGGGAGATGTTTGGGTCAGCCCTGAGATACAGTGACTGTCAGCAGTTATTCCTACAAGACAAGTAATTTCACTCAATGTATTACTGACAGATTGCTCACTTCTCTGAATCACTGGAGAAAACAAACTTAATATTGTTACAGGCAGAGTTTCTGTCTTCATTAGCCTCAGAGAATGATTTTTATCGAGCATTCAAAGCCTACCATGCTTTAGTTGGAACATATTTTAACAGATGTGTTCTTATAATGATAGTATGGGTAGTCGTCTAAATGAAAGGAATTAAATATGAAAAATTTTAAAAAAACAATATAAATGCATTTTCACTTTTATTTGATGGGCACGATGTATAGTTCAGGGAAGATGTGAGGAAAGGAATATAATTGGAGCCTTAAAATACTAGAAAAACCTATCAACTATAAGTTATTCTCAAATGAAACTATTTAAGTCTTGCCAAGTTTGCAAAGATAGAGAACAATTGAAGTTTTTGCAAAAGTAAATCCAAACACATATTTTATTTAAATGATGTTGACAATTTCCTTGCTACAAATGGAAAGTGAAGAAAACCCATCAACCTTGAGAATGCTCTATCTC